TTCGTGAATGGTTTTTTCCATTGCTTTTCTGGACACTGGAACCGTTTCGTCTGGGCGCCGGAGTGCAATTATTTTAGTCATGCTACTGGCAAAGCTTCGCTGGGCTTTGCAAATGCTTTTCCCAGCCTCTGTAACTTCGACCATTACTGCTGCTCTTCTCTCTTTAAGATCTTTTTTTATCGCCTGTCTGCATTGTTTTGCAAGTTCGGACGTTAGTTCGCGGTTGCGCGAAGCTCGTGCTGTTCCACGCTTGCGTATCAGCTCGAGTATTTTTGCAGACAGACGTCTTTTGGTGACTTTCGAACTCTTAGCTTTCATAGCTAACGTGAACATGTTGAATGAGCCGATTACTTTCTTCGTCGATGTTATCGGCAATGGCATCTTTCCAACAGCCGACTAATGAATTGAATAATTCCCAGTTTACGGTGGTTCTGGGACTTCGGCTTTGGAATTTAGCGGCTTTTTCTCCTTTCCGCTAGAAATAGAATCTTGCATGAAGGAGACGATGATCTGAGGCTGTGTAGAATTTTGGGACAACAGCGACATCGGTTAGGCAAAACCTTCTATTTATTATGATGTGGTCTATTTCGTTATGGTACTCTCCATTGGGAGACTCCCACGTTCAGCGTTGAAGATGGGGCTTCTAAAATTGCGAGTTACCGTAGATGGTCTTGGTCGCCATGATCAACTCAGACAGCCGCTCAATCTGTTCGTTCCATTCTAATCTGTGGATCCCAATGTGACGTTCTTCTTGGTCCAATCTTGGCGTTGAAATCTACGGTGATGACCTTGAAGAATGTGTGGTCTTGTCTGTAAAACCTCTCCAAGTCCATGTAGAACGCTTCGATTTCTTTTTCGTCGTAGTTTGATCTCGGCGCGTAAACTATGTAGATTGCCAAAGCCGATGTTGTTCGACATCTTTTTAATCGTAAACGTCAGATTCGGGTTGTAAGCTGTTCGAATGAATTGATGTTCATGGACAAACTTCTCCGGTGTCATAGACGCCGTTGAATGGGTGACTTCGTCTCGTCTCAGCCCAGGCCGTTGACGTCTTGCCTTATCCTTCTTGCTTTCATAAGCAATTCTTCTTTCGAGGACTTGGATGCAACGGTACGTGCATTGCAGGCACAGACCGTCACCATAGTTCTTATGATCGAGGCAGCTTTCATTGGCTTTGAGATTTTAGCAGCATCTCCGTACTCGTCTTACCAACGCTGCGAAATTGGGGGCTCTTTCGGGGTCAGGGGAATCAGGCCCGTTCTTTTTTTTTTACCGTGTTTAGCATTTTGATACCACGCATAGCTTGCTGGGCTCTGAAGGTGGGGGTGGGTATACTCATGGGCAGCTTGCCACGCTCTCCCGGAGTGGACATGGAGCTTATTTTTGGAGGCGACTCCTAACCTAACCGCCCCCCATATATTTCCCTACCACTTGATTGAAGGATCTGGTCGAATTGACCCGTGGAATACAATCCGCATAAGCGGGAACGCACCCACGTATGCTTGCATGAATATGCCTAGTAAATACAGAAGGAATGTGTTAAAACGGCCCAACAGAAACAGGGAGTCCATCCCCTGGATCCACTTGCGTCTTAGGGAAGCAATGGTCGCTTTTGGTCCGCGATTATCCCCCTATCCGCCCAGGGACGCACCACTTTGCCTTGCAACTAACCGGCTCGAGATCCCTCATATGAGTGAGATCCGTTGTACGATGGCCATAGTGATAAAAATGAATAGAAAGGATAAAGCATAAAACTCTCGGCTTCATCAAGTAACGTTTGGAGGTGATTGAATGCTAATATGGCCTTTACGATGACTTGCGGTGGCCTACCGATGTATCGAACCAGTGCTGCTATCCTCCCAGACAGGTCTGTTACCTTTTTGTCGACCCATGTGGGATGGAAGGTTGGTGGGCCATAAGCGCGACGATCGATCTCACGTGTGTGTTACAGGGCGCCTCCGACCACTGCGGCACACGCGCCTAAAAATGAAAGAACAGTTAATTGTTAGTCAAATTTTTGATCAACAGAACATTTCCGAAAAGAAAAGTTTTTGTAAATCATTAAGTGCTGAACGTGGCCTTTCTGAGATTGGCTATTGAATCAGTACTGCAGAAAGTCTCTGGAACTCACCGAACTGAAAATCGATACCATGATGTCCATATGATCGTTTGGTTCAGCTCTTTGTGGAGACTATAGTGTCCATAAGGGACGTTCTGGCTTAACTGAGTACTTAATTACATGGGCTGCGTCATAATTACAGTATGCTTCGTCCTTATTATGTCCATATTTCTACCTTCACAAGTGGTTCCGATAAGCTGTTTCCGAGCTTTCGGTAATGACTTTCTCGTGGTGAAGAGATTCTATGGTGACGTCGTCGTGCGTTCAGAAAGAAATTATGGAAGAACTTAGCAAATTTTTCAACTAGAACACACATCTTCGTTTCTACTATTCATTTAACTTCTATGCAAATAGTCCGCTGAGAAAATCGTTCATTGTCACAAAAGCTCAAAATGGACTACAATTGCGAAAATGTATTTACATAATAGAGAACATTAAGCGAAATAGCAGCACAATCGTCAAGAGGAATAGTGAGAGGCCCGTCGTAGGCGATCAGAGATTGTCAGATGTAATCTGAAATGTTGTTGTTATTTGCACATTTTAAAGAATCTCTTCTTAAATTGAAGAAGGAAGAGAAAAACGGAGCATATTAGGAAATCGGGAAGTCAGAAATTCTACTTGGTTTGGTATGAAGCCATGCCATCTATTCGCCTCCGAATTCTTACACCTTCAACACTCAACACTGTTTCTTGAACTCGTTAACGTAAATTTTCGTTCTTCTTCATTCTCGTCTGTATTGTAGTTTTACAATGTTAACTTTTTATTTGCTGCCTACTTCAGTTTTTTAAGGGTCTATTATGTGAAAAACACAACCATAATGATGCTGAGATGTTTGCAAAACTGCAGGCCGTAGGTGTCTGCGGTGAATGTCGAACACGCTATTACCTTTTCCGGAGTCTAACGCGTTCACCACCACACCATTTGGGTTCTTCGTTTCGCCTTTCTCTCAACTAGCTCTATTTCTACCAGTGTAGTCGGCAATCACCCGTCAGTGGACATGGTGTAGTGGTGAAATCGCTAGCACCCGGAAAGGATAATGGCATGTTCGGTCCTTACCGCAGACACATGTGGAGTTTTACAAGTAACTCAGCATCACTATGATTACAATCTCAGTTTGCTTAAATCATAGGGAAGGTGGTGAACAACTAATTCTTTTAAAGTACTCAGCAAATCGGACGTGAAACACACCTTAGTAGAGAAAATTGTTTTCGTCACCTTTCTTTTGATTCTGAATTTAATACCGGGCTTTGTTTACTTAATTTGTTCAAAGTACTCTTCATATTTGTTTATTACTTCGACTCGTTCGCATCATCCACAAAGGTCTTCCAACTTTTACGTTTGGCTCCGTCTGCTGCTTGAGGACTTTTCATTTCACGTTAAATGTCGTAAAATACTGGTCGAGTCCATTCCTCCTGGAGTCCTGAGGTAGCATGGATTCAACGTTCCCAATTATTAACCTTTTTATTTACTGCCTATTCTTTTTGACGGCAGGATATGTTGCGAAATATAACTACTATAATGCTGAGATATTTGCGAAACTCCGGACTGCAGGAGTCTGCGGCGGGGAACAAACGCGCTTTTGTCCTTTCCGGGGAGTAACGCGTTCATCACCACACCATGCGGGTTCTTCGTTTCGCCTGTCTCTGAGCTAGTTCTATAGATCTTTTTGCCATCAACAATCACCCGTCAACGGGATTGATCTGGGAGCCCAAATCGGCATTGAACCCAGTTAAGCTGAGACCATAGTTATAATCACAATCTTAACCTTTTTATTTACACCACCAATCCAATAGGGATCAATCTTGTTGACGGGTGATTGCTGATGGCAAAAAGATCTATACAACTAGCTCAGAGACAGGCGAAACGAAGAACCCGCATGGTGTGGTGGTGAGCGCATTGCTCCCCGGAAAGGACAATAGCGCGTTTGTTCCCCGTTGCAGACAGCTGCGGTCTGGAGTTTTGCAAATATCTCAGCATTATAGTTGTTCTCAATTCTATTGCAAGGAGTGATTCTTTCCTGGACAAGTCCGGTACCAATTTTCCGACCTCAGAGAGGTGAGGGATTCGGCGAACCTGGAGCGAGATCGAACTAGCACTATAGTCGTGATGATTGACGTAATTACCACTGTGCTATCCACTGAGTAGTTCGTTATAGTTAGTAGATTTCCGGTAGTCCAATATAAATCTATAGAGATTATTTAATGTTTTACTTCTTTTGATTGAAATTGAAGACGTTGCTTATATGGTCGTCAGAGATTGCTCTAAATAATATTACATTACTTGGTTAATATATTATAGGCTTAGTGAATGCAGAGATTTGTAACCTGCACCAACCTTAGCTAAAACCTTCGTACTGACTGAACGTGGAAGTTTAGTAGTCTGTGACTGTTCCAGCTTCTGAGTGAAGGTGGGGTTTTTCTTAAGTTGTTGTTGAGTCCCCTTCTCTTCATCTTCACCATGTTTCAGCGGCTTACGAGTAGTTTTCTGGAATTGTCATCGTCAATGTCCATTATTTTTCAATGAGGTAACCCTAATCAGGTCGTTCCATTTGTTTTATTAACTTCGTAAGAACTTGGCATAGACGGTTGTTACGCAAATCTTCCAAATTAGTTTGGAAGCCAGTTCTCCATTATAGGTGGAATTCGAAAAAAGCTGAAGAGATACTACAATCTAACTAAGTCTAACGACAGTGGATTTATATCGTCAAGTCTAACTGCGAACTGAGTTCAGTAGTTTTGGTTTTCTAAATATCTAGGTCTCAACAAGATTTGAAATGTTACTAACGTTCATTCCAACATTTCTGTTCTGCGAGAAAAAGTAACATTAGTTTCCATAAACTGCATAATAAATTATAGATGCTTTAGAAATCAGTTTGTTTTTGCTAAAGGAAATCACTATACGATACGGTTTTTGTTGGATTCACAACCTTTTTTGAGTGACCAGCATGGCAGGTGTCGTAGAGTTTCTTTAGCTGCTTCTTCTTCTCGGCAATCTCATCTCGTTTGCTGACATGTAGATGACATCTGCAACCAGAAGAATATTTCCAACAAAGAAAAGACTTAAAGGTCATTTAATCAGGTTGTCAGTTGCTAAAATTCCTAAGAATAGCAATAATGATCGATCGTTATGAGAATCATGAGAAACAGCCACTCTCAGAAAGGGGTTCCTATTTTAGGTCAATGTTACGAGCGGCGTTTAAATGAACAATCAATGACCATTAGTAGGAAAGAGTTCTTTCCCATGAGCTACGTTCGTGGAAGGCCGTCAAAATATTTTTTCCTTTCCAAAATCGATTTGTGACATATGTCCCAGACCCCCCACATCCCACCCCTCATCCCAAAAAAAAGTGATACCAAGGCCAAGGTAGCCGTTTCTTGAGCGCAATAAATAAAAAACTGTCAATATAAGTGAAAAAAGAACGCATTGAATTTTTTGGCTGAACTTTCGATCTAGACCAGTTTCGGTTGCAGTAGCCAAAGTGCTTACTCTTTCACAACACTGCAACATTTTCCAAGCTTTGCGCAGTGCATACGAAATTTTTTCGCCTCTTTGGCACAGCTCCTCGTCTTCTCTTTCTTCTCCTTTTTGAGTTTACGCTTCATTCGACGATCTGCTAGATCAAGCGAGGTAGAGCGTTTTGTCTAAAGAGTAACGGTTAGCAGGTGATTCGTGTTCGGATACTGACTGAGAGAAAGGCATAGTGAAGTCCTCGGTGGTGCAGTGGGTAACTCGCGATCTCGGAAATGGCGATCGCCGATTCGAATCTGATCTGGGATCCGAGTTTCTCAAATATCTCACCATCATTATGGTTATATTTCAGATGATACCTTGCCATGAAGAAAAACAGTAAGCAGTAAGTAGAAAGTTAGACATTGTGGTTTCAACTGCAGCTTAACTTAGGTGGGTTCAATGCCGATTTGGGCTCTCCATATCATTCCACGTGGCAATAAAACTGGCTAAAAGAAAAGCAGAACGAAGGCCTCAATGGTGCACCGTGAATTAGAAGCTGGCCTAGGGTCTGAGAGTTTAGATATTTCAACATCATTATGGTTCTGTTCCTTTTGGGATAGTTGCCTGGGGCCATCAAATTCGCCTAATATATTGTATTCAGCAAATGTTCCTCTATGGAGCGCCATGTTCGATGCAATGAAAACTATAGCTATTGTAGTCTCAAGTCGAAGTTTTTCAACGTCCACTAGTTCCCAATCAAGAATTCTTGCTTGCATACTTTCGAAACAAGAAACACAAGCACAGAAGAAACACTTGTGCGGAAAAATTCGCGTTGTTTGACTTAATTTGTCTAGTAAGGCGCACCCGGTACTAAAAGGTTATCAAGAGAAGGATAAACTAAATAATCTACACCTTTAAAAACACAAAAGCACTATCTTGGGATGAATTTATTTCTTGACAGGGGGATTTTAGCTATGGACATCCTTTACTATTAAACGGACGAATTTTTAAACAAAAAAAAAAGCGAACATGTATGTTGTAGGGCTTTCTGCTTTAAAAATCTGCCCTTTTATGTTGGATGCGGATTGCAGCTAGAACTTGATGAGAGAAACGGTTCGACTGACTCAAAGCGCAGTCGAAATTCTTTAAGCAAAAACCGAAACGGAAATTGACGCCGACCTTTTTGAGTGTGGCCTTGCACTTCTCGATTTTACGTGCACTGAGTGTTGCCGCGTCGGCAGACCTCTCCCGAACACACGTCGTCATCTCGACGTCTCGCTGAAAAGCGGCCTACAGATGGGAATCTTCAACCTCATTATCGTCATAGTTGACGTCGAGAAGTATAATTTAGCGCCTGCACGGAGCAGAACATCCGCAGTGAGAGATCGGAGGGTGACACAACTACTATCTGATCTTGGTTTTCGTTGCCTTTAAAAATGTGTTCAGCACGTATTGAATATTCAAAAGGATCGCTGTACTGAATACGATGTTCTTGCATTTTTACCACAGTGGAGATTGTTTATCTGTACTGAAATAGTACCAATGAGCTACGACATGCTTTCGAAATAAAGATATAATGATATTATGTGGACCAGAAAAAAGAAAAATTGCAAGCGTTTTTCATCTTTTTAAGATGTTCCTTCAAGATGGTGAAGTTTTCCTGCATTTTAAAACTGTGTATAGAAAAAATACGACATGGAACAAATTGTGTACGATGCTGTTTGTTAGCAAACAATGCTCTTTGACTACCTTCATAACAGGTGTCTAATAATGGTGCAGAATCTTCAATTTCATTTGATTGGCGCAGCTTATGCTTAAAACATTGACGCCCTGCGCCCGTAGCAAGAAGCGTACAGAACTTTCTCAATGTGGTGCAAAATATACTTATTGACCAATTGACACCATATATAGATTTAGCCGACATCGATGATAAGATTCTCTGTGCCTCACTGTCGATAATGGTTAATACCTACAGTTCCTTTAAACAAAAGCATTTCTATCCATTAAATGGCAAAGTTGTTTAGGTATCGAACTGTTTCAACAAAAGATTAAAAGGAACAGGTGGAAAATCTGGGCAAATTGCGTTTAACACAGTTCATCCCATTCTGTGATGATTACAGTTTCCCGATCATATCTAATCAACATGAAGAACGTGAACAATATCGTTGCGAAACTGTAATGTTTAGAAGCGCTCACCTCATTGTGAAGAACTTGTAGTTGCGAATGCAGCTCTAGGACTCCATGGCAATGATGCTTACGGCCGCCCTGTCCAAATGTGGTCGTGTTCTCTTCCAGACATTCGGCTGCCTTCTGATTAGCCAACGTCATACATTCAGCGTACTCATCGCAGAACGATGGCTGAGAGCGTTAGCAGGATGAAGATAAAGCAATCGCTGTTCGGTTATTCAAGTAGTTATACCAATCATGGAATAAAAGCTGAATTATGGCAAGGCTTTTGCCTTGCATTGTGAAATGAAAAAGCAGCAGCCATAAGAAGGAGTGACGACGTTATCACTGCCTTTCTGGCTCTAAGCGAAAACATTTATTAGCAACTAGTGCTCGTTAACAATAGTATTTGTTATTCCTAAATCACTCATTGCAAAATATGATTAGAAAGATAGAGCTCTCGGCGTTGATCAATCCCGGAGGGATGAGCCATGCGTTCTACTTCTTTAAGCATCATTTGGAGGTGATTGAATGCATATCTAGCCTTTACAATAACTTGCGGTGACCTACCGATGTAGCCAGTGCTGCACCCAGACCAGCCTGGTACCAATTTGCCGACTCCGGAGGGATGGAAGGCTTGGTGGGCCATGGGCTCGGGGATCGATTCTACGTGTGTGTTGCAAAGCGCCTCCGGCTACTGCGCCACACACGCCCTTACAAATATGACCATACAAAGTATTTCTTCAGCCTTTTACATGTTGAATTGGGTATATCTTGACCAGTGTGTCAATTTTGCTTATACCTCTAATATTTCCTCATTACTGAGGACGGCTTTCTTCTATTTGTAAGAAAGAACTTATTTGCGGCCATACAAAATTTCTCACACGATAGTAGTGTAGGATTCGACTTATACTTTGCCCTCAAGCGGTCGTTAGGACTAATGATAGGTGCTGCTGTCCTCACAGAAATCGCTATCGTCCAGGAACAATCAGTTTTCCAAAACAGTGCGCTATTTGTGAACGATCTTGCACCGTTATCTCTGGTTTCCAGTGAAAGCCAAGCTCTTACAACATTCAGCATGTCGACAAGGACTGAAGTCCATATATTCTCATGCGCACACTATCCCGACCACCTCAATGGAAGCGATTGGAATGCAACGAAACAAATAGAAGTGTTGGGACGCACACACATTTGAGACGGATTGTCTGATTAATATCTGAAAACCACAGTACGCTGAAGTTTTGTGGCCATAATAAGCAGCTTCATCTAACGTTAAAACATAAAAGTTGGCCTTTTTATCAGTTTTCCTCGCTGCTCCTCTACGTTCTGTTTGGTCAGCGCCTTCAATGGGTTACGATAATTTGCCAACTCACCACATCAGTTGAATTCCCCTGTGCCAAACATTGTGCTATAAACAACAACAATACTACTAGTTGGCTCATACCTGAAAAAGTTTACGGTAACATTTGTTCCTGCAAAAAGATATGTGATTGAAAACGAATGAAGGAACGGAAAGGAATTGAATGAAGTTAAGCGAAAGAAACTTAGAAAATTACAACATCACTGACAAAAGAATTTCAATAATAGAAGTGGTAATCATAACGATTCGGCGACGTTCACTGGAATATAGATTCTAGAGTGAAAGCCGTATGAGTGAGCATATTTCGTCGAATGACACGAGATGTTAGTGAAGAGGTCACCATGGGAAATACCAAAACATGGAGAAGGAGTCAATGGAATTTCGGACTGAACTCATATCTGAAGTTCTACTTATGCAGAAGCTCTGTGGGACCCGTCATAGTTTTTGTATATCAGCCAGAAATCCCTTTAACGTGACAATGAGCCCATTCATTCCTTGGTTGGTAAATATGAAATAAGCACCCAGTAAAACATTATTTATAGGCCGACTACCTAATAAAAAACAACGACTGTTTTTCGGATTTTATGGATCGACACCACTTGATAGAGCACTTCATTCTTTCAAGGCTCTGATTGAAATTCTGAAAGATCTGAAGAATAGGAAGTTTAGATCTAGAGAAAAGCGATTTTTTTTGGATAGCGTTTTAGGTTTCGAACGATGAAAATTAATCATCCGATAGTATCGTCCATGTTTATCTCCGATCCGATAGAGGCAGAAAGACACTTGAAATAGGATTCGAGAAAATAAAACTCGATGGTTGTGGGTGTCTCGGTGGTGTTGATTCCCATTAACCTTATCTTCTTCTCCTGTGGTTTTAAAGGTAGAACTGTTTAAAAAAGCAGATGCAGTTCAGCTCAATAGGAGAGTAATACAAGTTTTGTATACAATGAACTGCAAAACTACTTAACACACGCGCGACTAAGCCTGTTTCTTAACGGCGACCACTTGTGGCCACTTATTTTTCGCCAAGGGCGGTTTGCATTGAATATCCCTTCCGAGGAAACTTTTTTGTAACTTATTAAGCGTAGAGAATAGGTGTTCACGAATAACATCTGGCATACCATCAGTGCTGGATAAGATATCGACTGAGTGTAAAAATCATAGAAACTAAACTTCTGTGGCAACATAAAGTCGAACAGACGAACAGATTATGTTATGCATTGCCGCCAATGCATACCGCCATTTATGTGTTTAAAACGAGCAAGTTAAACTTTATTGGACAGTTTAATCGACCCTTTCGCGCCGACGTCTTGGTTAATGGAGGTCACCACTGCAACGTTTCACCCTTAGTACTAGCTAACACGATTTTTACATTTTATTTACTTCTAACATCTTAAAACGTTATACAATGAAGAAATACGGTACAAATTATATAACAGCGGACAGCTCTGCATGATCCATGAGAAGTAACTTGTTTATCTGTGTGCCTCCAAAAATAACTGCTTCATTTATCTACTCTTTAAGTAACATCATAAACGGATATCACAAGTTATCAACGACAATCCGAAATTGTAACCAGTTATGAATAAAAACAACTATGAGTACAAGAACCAAGAAGTCCGAGCAAAAGTCGTCTACATTCCGAAACAGTGACTGAATAAGAAAATTAAGAAGAAATGAAGATAACGTTGGAGTTCCATACTATTGTAACAAGTTCCCTCTGTTAGATCTGCCATGAAACGATGACAATCTGATTGAATAAATACGAACCGCAACCTAATGGGCGGGGATAGCACGCGGCAGATGATTCCGACATGGGGAAGGACGACATCAATTCGATATCATTTTCCGTCATATCCGGTCTCGTATCTCATTCAACATCTGCCTTAAATTTATGCCGAATGTCACAAGGAAAGATTATTATGCTGGTGAGGCTGAGCAGCTGCTCTCCCAAGCCAATGCCGAAATTTTGAAAACGGAAACAGAAAAATTGTACCCAATGCTCTAATTGTGCTGAATTTCTCAGAACCGGAAAAGCCTGTAAGACGAGATGAAATGTGTTTAAACGGTGATGAAGATAGAAACGAAATTGCTTTAGCACAGAACGGAAACCACATTGTGCGTTCTGAAAATTCAAACTGCATAGGTGATTAAAGCTTTGGAATATTTCAGCATGACATTGAAATTTTTTGCCAGCTTTTTCAGAAATAACTTTGATGCAATGAATCAAGTACAGAACAACACTGTGGAAGCCAATGTGAAGGCAAACCAAAAAATGTCTCAAATGGACAGCAAAAATGATTGAGGTCCGGTCTCGCCCTGCCATCTTGTGGAATTGTTCATTCAGCGTTTTACGTCCAGGAAGCCCGACCTATCACTTTGTAACTCTTGAAGGCTCTTCTTAAACAGCGTCTAATCCACGTTGATCTTACAGTTATCTTATCATGACTCATTGTCTCTTCTTCATAAGAACTGAACACATTATCCATGAACCACGTGGTATTTTCAGGTCTACTTCTGCTCGAAAGTCCCAATCTCTGTAGTCACCTCTTCGTTTTCGACGAGCTCGGTACTCCACATCTACCATTTATAAGGACTGCTCTACGAAGTAGTGCCTTGAAGAAGTGCGTGTGATAGTGAAACGTCCTCACAGTGATTCCGCCATTTTTCCGCACTTGAAGAGTAATTTGAAGAAACACAAGTCGCAAAACTTCAGAAAGATGGGAAAATGGTCAGCACATTTTTTTGACAAAGCTGTGCTTCGAAATCCTTGACAGGGTCAAACTAACAACGTACAGAGATAGTCTTGAGGAAAAAACAGCGGGCTTAGCAGAAATTTGTGATTAAATTGGGACATTGTTTTATGGGTAATCTTCCTTGAATCACGGAATGGAACGACTTTTCGCACTTTTTTACAAAAATATGGTTGTGATAAGGTGCAATAAAGTGTGACAAATAGTCTACAAAGTGTCGTACAATGTTCCTCATTACGAGAAGATAAATAAGATTTCCTTTTTATAGCCGCATTTCTGGCAAAGGAGATGGTGAGTTTTCGATGGTCGCAATCCATTCTCGTTCTAATCATAAGGCTTTCTCTAATTCTACAGGTGTATGTTAAAACACATTTTTGCAGTGGTTCATTTTGGCATAGTGGGCATAACCAATCGTGACGAACCTCTTAAGAAAGTGGGTTTGTACATACGGGGCTCCTTAGAAATGATAACCTTGTAGACTAAGTGCAGATGGAGGATAGTAGGCAAGCAATCTACGTTTCTTGTCATCTACAACACTACTACCTTGAAAATTTCACAGTAAAGGAGTCGTGTTCCCAGAGTGATAAGTGGAGGAAGCAAAGTGAATTTACGGGCTATAGCGGATAGGATATTCTTCGGTTCAATGCTAGAAAAACGAATGCATTGCATTTTTGAAAATAATAATGCGGTCGGTGTTGATTTATCATATAAACGTGCCATGCATTCAACTCCATTAATTATTGTAGAAGGTTTTCAATGCATATTTGGCCTATATCATTGAGTTGAGGTGGCCTAGGAATGTATCAAATCGGTTGCGAATTGAGTTTCTCTCCTCCCAGACAAATCTGGTACTAGCTTACCCACTCCGGAGATATGGCTGCCTCGGTTGTTCCCATGCACAGAGTCGAACCAACGATGAAATATGTTCGTATTTTTTTTGAGCAAACGCGAGGTGTTATTGTAACAATAACACCTCGCGTTTGCTCAAAAAAAATACGAACAAAATCACTTGATCAATGCCGAGGTTAATAGAAAGTCGGTCGTAGCAG